GCTGCAGTGATGTTATCACATTTCACATGACCAAATTTTCATTCTAGACCGAAGTTCCATACAACAAGTCACACATATTTTAGATGTATCGTATAAGAAAGACATATTTACCATACAATTTTCAATCTAATTAGTTCGGATGTATAGGGCCGGCCCTAGAGGGAGGGCAAGCTGGGCGACCGCCCCAGGCCTCGCCAAATCTTGGGGCCCCTACATTACGGTAAGTGTGTGTGTGTGTGTATATATATATATATATATATATATATATATGGTTTTGTATAATATATAATATAATATGGAACAAAGAACATATGATGTTTGTTGGTCTGTTGGTTTACGCGTTGTTAATTTCGAAATAGAAAGCCCGAGTTCGAACCTTTTCCGCCAAATTTTTGGATTTGTTTTTGATAAATTTTAGTTTGATATGTTTTCCCATGAGCTTCTCAGTTTTCAAAGCGACGGAGACTTTTCAATTTTCAAAGTTAAGACTAAAAGCGAAAGAGACCGTGTACGTATTCTTCTAAAAGTGACTTCTGATTTTTGGGCTTATTTTGGATTCAAGAAATTGATTTCAAGCATCAGGGAGTTCAAGCATCTATACTCTATCGATCAAGATCCAATATTCCTTCTTTAGAAATTGATATTATGCAAATCAAAATATATGATCCGTCTCTCGACTTTGATTTCACGCAACGGTTTCGCTGTAGGTCTAGATCACGGTTTGCATATTAGGTTCACATTGTTTTTTTCATGAAATACTTTTGGTTTATGAGTTTTTTAGGTGAGCTAAACTAAAATATTCATGCCTTGGGTTAGAAAGCTGGCTAATTGTATTTTTGATCGATTGTTCTCAAAACTCCCTCGTCAAAAGGTAATTTCTTGGACGATTGATATCTAGAATCTATTTTTGGTTTATTGAATATATTCCCTCTTTGATTAATTCCTCTATTCTTAGCAAATCGAGTTCCAAGTTTTCGAGGGAATTTCTTAATACCATGGAATCAAAATACTTATTTCTTCATTTTGAGTTACTTGTTTTTGGTATCAATATGTGTTTTTTGTGGGTAACTGATAATGTACAGGGTTTTCATAGCTGATTGGCATGAGGTTTAAAGTGCTTCTTGGTTTTCTTATTTACATTTATCAAATCTACCTTGTTATTTGAGTTCTGTCTCCACAGCTCACACACGAGTGGCTGCATATTGCAATGGACAAACATGAAAAAATAAGTATATTTTTTAAATTGTTCCTGCTATCATAGTTCATGCTTCCTGATGTTAATTTGTTTTTAACTTGTTGCAAAGAGCAAACATGGAAAATATGTATTTTTTTTGTAGGTTTATAGCTGATGGCTTGTAATATATTTTTATTTATTATGTCCTAATTTTGGACATTTGTTTACAAAATAAAAAAGTGATCATATTCTGTGTATTGGTATTATTATATACACTTATTAATATATTATTGTAAAAAACAAAAAGATCGGAACGTCATATTAATATATTATCGTAAATAACTAAAAGTATATGTGACATCTATACAGTTTACCCGGTAAACCGAACCGAACAACCCGAAACCAATTAAAAATTGATTAAACCGACCAAAAACCACCTTTACAAGGGCCTCGTTTTTCTTTTTGCCCCGGGCCTCAAATCAACTTGGACCGGCCCTGGCGGGATGTAACCCTTTTTAACAAAAACAACAGCCATGACCAACAAAGAAACTGAGAATTTGAGACTAAAGTGACTGTTGAGCATGTTTCTCAGCATAAACTTTGGTTGGCAGCAACAGATTCACGAAATGGTGCCGCAAAAGATTATGTCAAGGGAAAACTGGTGGGCAGTCAAACCACCTCTGGGAATATGTCTACCAACTTATGGTTTCCATAAAATCTTGACAGAGGAGTTTGAATCAAGTTTTACAACAAATGTCTTTCTGTCATCATCCCAAAATTCTGAGGAATCTGTTGCGACTTTTGTTGTTTGCATCGAATCACCTTTGGGAACGAGTACAGCTCTAAACCAACGCTCATCATCTCCATACAAACACTGATTGCATAAGGAAAACGAAATGGTATTGCATGTTGAATTCAAGCATCCGGTGTGCCTCAATGAACTAAAGGAAATATATCCTACATGTGTCTGATTATTGTGACTCTTCAGTACAGTTTCATTAGACTCCTGGGCAAGCTCACATTGAAAATTTTCATGCACACCCAACTTGATGGTTATGTTAGGGACGCAAGCAAATTTCTTGTTGTTTTGGAAGAACATCAAAATCCCAGAAAAATGATTGTACCAATCATGTGGAAGCAGCATATTATAAGTCTTCTCCCAGTCGACCCAAAGTGCAGATGCCCCCCTCCATATGTCAATGCCTGAAAGGCCGAAATGTTAGGAATTGAGACAGGGTACACGCAGCGGAAACACTATCACACACTCACAAACGAAACGAGAAAATAAAGCAATAAAGAACACAAGGATTTTACGTGGTTCGGATTCGGTGTAAATCCTACGTCCACGGGCTGCAACTAGAGAATTTTATTAAAACTCACAAGATTACAATTGGCTTGACACTCTACACTTGATGTTCTCTCAAGTTTTTGCACACAAAATATGCAAAACATACATGCATATATATAGGTATATTTGTGAGCCGCAATATGCACAAGATTGCCGCATAGTTTGAAAAAATAATTTTCATGCATGTGTTTGACAATTTTTTCCACCGTCCAATTATTTGCCGTCCAAAACTTTGACAGTCCAACAAATGAATTCAAAAGGTGTGCTCCATAATTGCATCGTCCATTTCATATTCAATTGTTTAATATTTCCAAGTTTCATTTATGGCCCTTGAACTTTTAGGAACTTGTCAATTTGTTCAAGACTCCATAAATCTTAACAATCTCCCACTTGGAGACTTGAACAAATTAGTCTTTCTCCGCCATTCAACTCTCAATTACTCCAGTAATCTTAAAAAACAACCAAGTCCTTCAAGCTTCCAGTTTCAAAGAACAAGCTAAAACTTAGTCTGATTTCTCTAATTGCAGCCGCCCCTCATCTTCAAGTACTAGAAGGGCCAGTTGAAGCTCCCACTAGCTCCAACTCAGTCGTGGCTAATCCCACCACCGACTCATCCTCTGTCTCAACCGGTTTGGACACTCTACCAGATCCAGAGATACACCGAGGACCACTAACACTCTCCAAACTTTGCAAACTTCCAACAAGAGAGAATTTTCCAGTCTTAGTCTTCAAAACCCAACGGCTCTTTGTAACTGTACCCGGGACACACCCCGTGCTCCCACTGTCACAGAATCCCCTAAATGGTTTAGAATTTCCGACTCGTTCAGCTAACATCCCCTTGGCTCCAGAATTCATGTTTGCAAAATGAACTCTCTTAGCAGTAGATTTAGCGAACCAGATTTTGTTTTGCTTAATCGGGATGGTCATACTTCCCTCAGCAGGTACCTCAACCATATACAATGACCCACGCTTCAAACCTTGAGCAATCACCGAATTACCATTGACCACCATCCATTTACCACCACCAAACCTTACTTCCAGTCCTTGTTTATCCAGCTGACCAACAGAAATCAATTTTTCTTCAGCTCCGGAATAACCCTGACATTCTTCAGGCTCCATGTAGTTCCTAATGAAGTAACTAGATCAATATCTCCCATGCCCGTTACTTGAAGCATCTCGTCATTTGCCAATCGTACCTTCCCAAAATCTCCTTCTTTTAGATTCACCATCGTTTCCCCGTTGTCCATAGCGTGAAACGAAGCCCCTGAATCCATGACCCAAGAGTCCACAGAACTTTCCATACTGAGTAACAATGCATCATCCCCAGAAAAATTCTCAACATCAGCAATGTTCAATTCTTTCTTTGGACATTGACTCTTAACATGTCCCACTTCTTGACAGTTCCAACATTTCACATTCTTCAAAGTTCTAGAAGAACTTTTTCCCCGACTCCCACTGCTCCCACTATTCCTGCTATTCCCTCTACCTCTTCCGACATTTAATAAATCAGAAGAGGAAGATTCACCTTGATTCTTGCGTCTGATATCCTAGCCTAGAACCAAATCTCTAACCCCTTCAAAAGTCATACCACTGGTCCCCACGGAACTTGTAACAGCAGTAACTGTTCCGGACCAGCTATCAGGTAGAGAAGCTAGTAGCAGCGAAGCTTGAGTCTCATTATCAAATTTAATTCCCACAGATGATAATCTGGACAGAATTGAATTTAGATTGTTAATGTGAACCGTAACTGAGCCTTCCTCATTCATCCTTGTAGTGAACAGCTCCTTCATCAAGAACACCTTGTTAGCCGCCGATGGTTTCTCATACATATTTGACAGAGCCTCCATCATACCACGCGCCGTGGTTTCATTCATGATGTTGAAAGCAACGCTCTTCGTCAACGACAATGTAATAACCGCCTTGGCTTTCTTGTCCTTTGAGTTCCACGCATCTTCAGCAGCTTTTTCCATTTTCTCCGGTTTGTCTCCGAGTACCACGTCCAAGTCTTTCTGACATAGCAATGCTTCTAATTGCATTTTCCACCAGCTAAAATCAGAACCATTGAACCTTTCGATTATAACCTTGTCTTCAGCCATTACGGCAAACAAAAAAAAAAAAATTAGGTACACTCGTGTGTGACAGAAAAAACGATCGTACCCTCCAAAATCTCGCTAACCAGACTCTGATACCAATTGTTAGGAATTGAGACAGGGTACACGCAGCGGAAACACTATCACACACTCACAAACGAAACGAGAAAATAAAGCAATAAAGAACACAAGGATTTTACGTGGTTCGGATTCGGTGTAAATCCTACGTCCACGGGCTGCAACTAGAGAATTTTATTAAAACTCACAAGATTACAATTGGCTTGACACTCTACACTTGATGTTCTCTCAAGTTTTTGCACACAAAATATGCAAAACATACATGCATATATATAGGTATATTTGTGAGCCGCAATATGCACAAGATTGCCGCATAGTTTGAAAAAATAATTCTCATGCATGTGTTTGACAATTTTTTCCACCGTCCAATTATTTGCCGTCCAAAACTTTGACAGTCCAACAAATGAATTCAAAAGGTGTGCTCCATAATTGCATCGTCCATTTCATATTCAATTGTTTAATATTTCCAAGTTTCATTTATGGCCCTTGAACTTTTAGGAACTTGTCAATTTGTTCAAGACTCCATAAATCTTAACACGAAACTGATAAAGTAAGCTTTGGCGTTTCCCTGCCACAATACAAACACAATCGTTATGATTCACCTGTATTCTTCTTATGTATGCACACACACACACACACACGCACAGAATGAAAAATAAAAAGCCAAACCTGGAGCATGCAGTTTAGTAAAATGTCACCACCAAGTGGACCAAGTTTGTTCTTCCCAAGAAGTGAGAGTTTCCACAACCATCTACAGTTTGAAATATCTCCAAAGCTTTCAAGTGACCAACACTCATCCGCTATAACAACAGCTATACTTGATGGTAGCTCCAACAATTGTACAAGGAGTATGCAGTGTGACACATTGAGCCATTTGAGCCGACGAAGTCGCAAGAGACTAAAATTCAATTGTACAAATTTATTTGTTGCTAGATTGAGTTCTTTCAAGTTGGGTAACTCCCAACCAGCAGCAGATCTGATGTCTCCATCTGCTAATTCACAAAAGCTGAGATTCAGCTTTCTTAAGCATCCACTCAAAAACCATCCTTCTGTGTGCTTCACGGTGTTAGGTAGAAAATTATAAAATGAACCGCAGTTTGAGAATACAAGAGTCTTGAGTTTCTTCGACCGGATAATGGATGGAAAAATCTGAAGATTGTCACAATTTCGTATCTCTACACAAACAAGCTTTTCCAAAAGTCCAAATGTTGGATGTATCTCTTCCAACAACCGAGATCCAACAACTATGAATCTTTCAAGGTTCGGAATCCCGTAAAAATCTGGTGTCTTCATCAGTTTCATCAAGTAATAAAGTTTGATCATTCTCAAGTTTGGTAGAAACTATATACACAAGTGCACATAAGACAAAAGTCTGCCAAGAGTTCATAGAAAATGGGTATATATACATTCATTTCCAAAAAAAAAAAATGATGAACCATGTATTTCATAATGTTTGTAAACATGGTTGGTTAAAAAAGATTATATATATATATATATATATATATATATATATATATATATATATATATAGGGTTAGGTTCATGTGAGACGGCCTAATTTTGTAAGACCGTGAGACGCATTTTTTTATTTTTTTTATTTTTTTTTATTTTTTTTTAGTTAATTCAAGTTCCGAAAATAATATTTAAAAAAAGAATTTTTGGATTTTTCCATTTATTTTGCATTTTAAAATTATTTTTTAGAATATGTACAGTGTAATATTCTATTAGAATATTTCACGTATTTTTCAAAAAAATGGGATTTTTTTTTATTTTTTTTTTAGTTAATTCAAGTTCCGAAAATAATATTTAAAAAAAGAATTTTTAGATTTTTCCATTTATTTTGCATTTTAAAATTATTTTTTAGAATATGTCAGTGTAATATTCTATTAGAATATTTCACGTATTTTTCAAAAAAAATGGGATTTTTTTTATTTTTTTTTTTATTTTTTTTAGTTAATTCAAGTTCCGAAAATAATATTTAAAAAAAGAATTTTTGGATTTTTCCATTTATTCTGCATTTTAAAATTATTTTTAGATTTGGTCTCACGGTCTCACAAAATTAGAATGGTCTCAAATGAACCTGAACCTATATATATATATATATATATATATATATATATATATATATATATATATATATATATATATATATATATAAAACCACGTATTACTTAAAAAAATTGATGGCCAGAAACCATCACAATTGAAAAGAAAATTTGACTTCATGAAAGTAATCATTTTTTTATGATAACAAATTTGTCATACAAAATCGGTACCTTACAAAATGTTAATTATATACTTTGCTTTCATCCATTAAACAATAAGAATTACCTTGTAACCCTCCCAAAGTTGTTTTGCATTGAGAAACCTCAATGTTAGACAACAAAGCTCCCTTGGTGGAAAATTTTCTGGCAATATAACCAATTCAGCTTCTGCCAGATGAAATCTCAAATCAATCCACCGAAGTTTCTTCATGTTTGCAACGACCTGAAGTACTCGTTGTGGTTCATCAGCCATAGGAGACTCAACATATATAGCTTCAATCTTGTCAAGATTCTGGGATAGAGGAACAAAATGGCGTAGGGTTGAGTTAAAAGTATTTCTTTACACATATTTATGTCATGAAAACTAAGCTAGTTTAACCATTACCATCGTTGCATCCATAGCACATATTTGTAGAACATCCTCCTTCCAAACTCTGCTATGCTTTTCAGGATTCTTGGGGTGTTCACCTGTAACAATGTAGTGTGCCATTTCTTGTACCATATCATGCATATCAAACCTTCCATTTTCTGTAATAGTTATGAGAGTGTTTTGCACCAACACCTTTATGCCTATAACAGGATGATAACCACAAGCATCAAGTATCATCATAATCTTTTCATCTTTATAATCATGCCCTCTGAAGAAACATGCAATATCAAGGAACAACTGTTTCTCCACAGTCTTGAGTCCATCAAAGCTGATTTTTAGCTTTTCCAAGATATTAGCATCTGGAATTTCTTTCAATCTATCCAAGGCACTCCTCCACTCATTCATCTCTTAGTCACATAGAAAACGACTGAGAATTCTAAGGGCTAATGGGAGCCCACCAGCATAAGCAACCACGTCTTTTGAAAGAAGCTTGTAATCTTCTATAGGTTTGTGACCACAAGGTGCATGCTTGCAAAAGAGCTTCATAGCCTCATCATTGTTTAACAAGCTAATATTGTGTATCACATCTACTTTGTGTCCAGTTAATACATGCTCATCTCTAGTTGTGATTAGTATTCGGCTTCCTTCACCAAACCAATCACGTGATCCATCTAACTGTTCTAGGTGCTCAAGGTTGTCGACATCATCAAGAACAATCAACACCTTTCGATGGTGTAACCTATCCTTTATCATGTGCCTTCCTTCTTCAACTCTCCCTACATTCAGTTGCTTCTGTTTCAAAACAGTACAAAGAATTTGTTCTTGCAATCTTTCCAAACCGTTTTGATTACTTGATTCTTCCCGAATATTTTTTAGAAAGCAGCAACCATCAAACTTGCTGGAGATTTCATCATAAACAGAAGAGGCAAGAGTTGTCTTACCACCACCCCCAACCCCCCATATTCCAATCATCCTCTTACCACCAAACTCAATTTGTAATTTTGGCATAAAATGTTCCATCCGAGCCTCTACTCCAACCAGATTGTCATCCCCGCTTGAAGTTATTGGCTGCAACCTTTGTGAAATTGTGTCAACAATTTCTTTAATGCACTTAGACTCATGCCTGCAAATTGAATATATAAGGATCATTAACACACGCTCACATTGACAAATAGCCTTATCATAAACTTCTACCCTAGAGAATTCTACCATGTGAGTTCTTAGCATATGTTAATCTCCCGCAGTAGTGATTATTATCCGGGTTTTGTCAAGTGATCTAGTTAAAGCCTATGAAAGCCTAAAATATAGACATTGTTATTAGATGATTGCATAGCACAAGTATAACTAATTTCATCATTGTACATGACTAGTGTTCTCTAAAAACATGTATTTTATCATCATGAATTTAGCATCATATCTTAAACATAAAAAGTGTAAATGTCTTGTAGTAGAGCACATATCTTACGCATAAAAGGTGCAAAAACAAAGAAGAAAATTACCCGTTGGCAACATACTCGGTTTCCCATCCAGAAATGTTACTTGCATCCACAAGTGCTTTTCTCCATGATTCAACCTTGGTCTTGTTCTTCAACTCATGTTTCACAAATGCTTCCCCATATTTGTGTTTTTGTTTTCGAACTTCGGAAGGATCAACGTCATAAAATATGGGCATCACGATTTGTCCTCGTGTATCCTTGCATTTAATGATATGTACAAGTTCATCTAAGCACCATGAAGAATCTGCGTAGTTTTTAGAAAATATGATGATGGCTATCTGTGATTCTTCGATAGCCGTCACAAGAGATGGACCAATTGATTCGCCCCAGGGAAGTGTTTCATCGTCTTTGTAAGTAAAGATCCCTTGTTGTTCAAGAGCTGTGTAGAGATGATCCACAAACGTCTTACGAGTATCTTCTCCTCTAAAACTAAGAAAAACATGGTACTTCCACACCTCAGAAGAAAAGGTCACATCGGAAGGAGAAGATGAAGAAGATGCCATCGACATGTTGATTTGTTGAGATAGAATGTATGTGGTTTGAGCACCCTAATGAAATAAAATATATAGGGAGATGCGAGTCTCCGTTACAACCTGTTATCATGTAGAAAAACCTTGTCAGAACTCATAATTGAAGTATCTCTCTCCCTCCCCTCTCTCTCCACAAGAGAGAACAGATTTACCCTTCAAGATTTCTTCACTAAGCACTATATTTTACAACTTTACAATCATATTATGTACAAAAAACAATCGCACAAACTGAAAGCCCCCTAAGAATATTACAATTATTAAAATATCTTTAACTTGGATTCCTTACATCAAACATTCAACTCCTTATGTTCCATCACTTAGACTTGTCCCACACAAAAACAGCCTCTCCCTCTTAATACACTTACAAGCATAAAGAATTTATTAAGATCTTCTTATTACCTTTAATATGGCTGTTCATAACTTCTAACATACCAGGGATACAGGTTCCCATTGCACAAATGGATTTAACTATCATTCCCTCAATAATATGAGACTTTAACTTTCTCATCACCCATATGTAAACATTAATCAACTATCCACATACTTGAAATTACTCTCAGCATTCACATATTAACACTATCTTTTTCATTGACAGAACCCACATAATGTATCATAATTCCTCTTTTCTTTTATATGCCCTTTAACCGTATGATTCATCAGCTATTTATGTGGTTATGCCACCACTATAATCCAGCACCTTTGATAAACACTTTCCCTAACCACATCCATAATGAAATTTATCACATAGCTTTATACAACTCGTCACCATCATTATTCTCAACTAATGATGCATAAAGTTTCAAGTTAGAATCCCATACCATTCATCATATGTTAATAATAATCTATCTTGTGTCAATGCTATAGGTGATAATTATGTTTTAGGTGGGCCTCTGTTTACACCAAACCAGCTTTTCCAATCACTACCCGGACTCATTTAAATTAATGTCTCCATCCCCCTGTTCGATTTTCTTTTTGTATCCACAGCACATATGCACATCATTAGACTCATTTCCCTCTAATTACATTAGTTTATAACACATACAACAACATATTAACTTCAAAAAGTGATTAAGTTACTATAATAATTCAAAAACTTCACAACTTTGACTAAATTAGGTCAAAATACGTTTCTGACATTCCATATCGACATTAATTCTCTTAACTTATTGATAAAATTTACTCAATAACTTTATAAATCTTCATTAATACTTCAATTTTAATTATTGATAACTTATACTATATCAATTTATCATTTTCAGGAACATACCTCAAATTTCCAGCAGCACCCAACTTAAGCAGAGTCCATTTTGCGATCAAGTTACTTTTGCAAGATTATACTTCAATTTCGTCGTTAATTTCTACTTTCAACTTGGATCGATTTGAGTAGATGGGTACTTTCCTCTTTCTATCTATCTGCCAAGTGTCAACCAGGGTGTGAAGATAATGAGGAAGTAATTTATAGATCGTTTATATATTTCCTCAGGTATTGGCGTTTCAACATTAGCCACCACACTTCTATATTTTACATTCTAACCTCCAAAATGAAAAAACTTAATAACATTTCTCAGAATTATATTTAATCATTTTTGTTAATTTGACAAATAATTTATACTTATATTTTTATACCCCCAAAATGTATTATCTAACTTCAATGGCAAAAAGCAGTATTACAAACTATTATGGCCATCTTTGCATAACTTTCTATTCTAAAATCATCAGAATTGTTAATTTTTATAATTTCGTTCAAAATAGTCGGTAACTTTAGATTTACTGGTTGTAAATCATATGCAGCTTAATCATTTATAGAAAGAAAAAAAACACAAGCTATCATGAACTTCTTATTATTTATTTATTTATTTATTGCATTTGATGGCTTGATGCAAAACGAAAACAACAAACAATTATTCAAAAAAGATAATAATTATTGATTCCAAGATGTTAGTGAAAGACAAAATTCCTTTATATAAAAGGAGCTAAATTTGCAGGAATTACCAAACTTTAGAAAATTAAAATTGACAAGAAAATCCTTTAAGTGTGCTCCTCAATAAATGCAGGAAATTCATAAAGTAAGGAAAAAAATATATTTTGTTATTAAAACATAATAAAACAAAAATAGAAAATACATAAAATTTGGAGGAAACCGGAATATGGATGCTTAGATGTGGATTTTGGAGATTAAACATGTAACTTACTATAAATAAAAAATATACTACAAAATATGAGTAAAGTACAAGAATATTCTCTATTGTGTTGGATAATATGCATGTTTGGTCCCTAACTTTTTTATTTAACTCAGACCAGTATTATATTTTTTTTTCATTCCAGTTGACCAAATTTATAGGAGTTTCTTCGGCAAATAACTAAAATTTAGGGTTACTTTGAAAAAAATGACCATAAAAATGAGGATTTTGGAAAATGACTAAAGGTTCCGCAGAGAGGGTTCTGCGGAACCATAAACACCTCTGCGGATCTTGGTTTTTTTAATTTTTTTTTTTCGTTTTTTCGTTTTTTTTTATTTTTGTTTTCGTTTATTAATATTATTATTTTTTTAATCACATAAGGTATTATGTGATTATTATGTAAAAAAAATTTGTTTTTGCTTTTCCTTTTTCTTATTTAATACCCGTTTAAAAAAGTTGTGTGTTTAATAAAAATTATACAAATATTCCATATTTTTTTATATAATTACACACATCAGTATTCTGAATAATAAACATACTTTAAGTAGGTTACAAAACATACTTTAGAAAACATAAACATACAACCTTCATAATAAACATACTTTGAAATAAACTTCATTCATTCAAATCGAACCACAGAAACTTTGATCTGTGGTTTAAATCTTCCTCCTAACATTGACCATGCAATGTTATTACAAATGGTTAGAATTAAGGCAAGTGTGCTAAATAGTCATATATGTTTGTCTTTTAAACACCCGGAGTTAGGGTATGTCATGGAGCTTGGAGATAAAACTGATGTATTTCAATTGAGACATGTAATGTTTGAATCAAAGAAGACGGTGCATTTGTATTTAACGGTGGTAGGTGAAGAAGCTGAAGAACAAGCAGTGGTTAACAACCAGTTTAATCCAGCAAAAACTAATAGAGGTCGTAGAGAAAGCCAATGTGATGGAAACCGTTCAAGGGGAAGAAGAAATGAAGTGCCAGTGGGTTATGAAAAAAAGTTTCGGTTACTGATAAATTTGTATCTGATAATGATACTTTTGTATCAGATAATGATAAAGAAGCAAAAGTGGGCATGACTGAATTACAACGTCAAAATTTGTCGAGTTTGGAGAAGTTCCTGAAATTGATGATCGAAGATGTGAGGAAAAATCAAATGAAGGGTGGTCGGATGATGAGTACACACAACAAAAAACTGCTTTTAATCCATGATATTGTATTCCTTCTATTCCTGATTTGTCCAGAACCTATTCTCGAACATGGACCATTTCACAGTTTAGGTCCGAATGATAAATTATTTGTCAATCAAACCCATAACACCAAAAATGAGCTAGCATTTGCAGTTAAATTCAAATCCGTTAGAGAAAAGTTTCAGATAAAGGTTGAAAAATCTTCAAAATCTCGGTACCAGGTTGTTTGTATGCAAGAAAACTGTCATTGGCGTTTATACGCATCTCTCATTAAAGGAACATAAATGTTTGAAATTAAGACGTTTAATGACGAGCATACATGTTCTTCATTGCTTATACACCCAAATCATAGGCAAGCAAATAGCGAAGTTGTGGGAACCATAATACATGACATTATGGGTCAAGGAAGTTTGAGAGTTTGGAAGCCTAATGATATAATTAGAGATATGAATGTTTTGCTACAAATAAATATGAGTTATTCACAAGCGTGGCATGCTAGAGAATTTGCTTTGGGATTGATGATGGGGACCCCCGAAGAAAGTTTCTCCAAACTACTAGTTTATTTTCACAATCTGAATAAACATAATCCTGGTACTGTGGCGTACATAAAAACTGATTCGGAGGATCGTTTTGAGTATTGCTTTTTCGTTATTGGATGGGCGATAATATATTTTTAAATATATTTGTTATTTTCGTAAAATTTTTATAAACAAATTATATTGTTGATATATTAATGGTTTTTATATTGTTGTTGTTGGATTAGGTGTCTAAGCCCATAACTATATTTGGTATGTACTTGACCCGATTGTAGCATGGTCCTTTTGGGTTGCCTTCACCAAAGCAACTTGACTGGATGAATATTAGAGAAAGAGGTTTATCATGGTTTATTAATATATTAAAAGAGAAATCATATTGTTTAATTAATATTGGTCAAGAATTAAATTTAGAATTAATTTTGTGGTCAAAAGAGATTAATTAAATCAAGGGGACTGATATTGTAATTATAAGATAATTGCAAAATGGGCTGAGGATCCCTAAGGATAGGGGTGGACGAAATCTTATGGATAGCCCATAAGGATTTCGTCCATGATAAGGATTCTGGAAGGATCTAGTGGGCTGCTTAGGGCTTAAGCAACTGGATTAGGTCTTTGACTGAAACCCTAATTCCTCACCTATATAAAGACCCGTTTGGCTTCATATTTTCGGCTACACTGAACCCTAAGGATTACTAGAGCCGATTTTTTCACTCATCCTCTCTCTCTTACATTCTCCAATTGCTTTGGTGTTTGTTATCTATCAGAGGCATCACATTTGAGGTGCTAGGTTCTCAAAGGCTCAAGATCATCAAGCTACAATCAAAGGTAATATCCTAACTCTTCATCAGATGTAGATTTCGATTTTATTGTATTCTAGATTAGGGTTTGCAAGCTTTGGATGATTATTGCATGTACAATTAGAAAAACTAGGTCCAAAGCTTTAGGGTTTGCATGTGCACCATAGGATTGTTGTAATGCTCAAAACCCATCAGTGGTATCAGAGCCTAGGTTGTTTATCTATTGTATTTAATGATATGTTCAATTGTTCAAAGCTGAAAATCTCGAAAATCTGCTTCTGTAGTAAGGACTCGACGAGTTCTCGGGTCTGTTGGCTGATTTCTCGGGATTTTGACTAAAATTGGGTTAGGATAATTACCATAAACGTTTTTAACTGATAAAATTCGAATTTTATGATATGGTATTGATTATCCTCATCCAATTAAAGGATAATTGTCAAATTTAAGATAATTACTTGTTTTATATGATAAAATTAATTGTTTGTATTTTTTATTTGAATTATATTGTCTTGAAAATAGATTAAGTCAACTTATGTGATAAATATTAATTATATGATTATTTAATTATTTTTCAAATTTGATCTAAAAGTGAAAGACCCTAACTTTCATACTAAAGACATTATTATCATTCCAAAACATGCTACATGCATATTCATAAATAATATTTTACATTGATAATTTGATTACAAAGGACTGGATACAAACCGACTAAGTTTTAGTATATTACATAACTACCCAGGATATTATAATTTTTGTACAAACATAAACCCAAATTCAAAAGTAACAGTATAAACTATTCTAAATCTTCCAACAGTATATGACTATATTGGATGCTTATTTCCTGCAAATGTTAAACATTGAGAGAGGTAAGCGGTGACGCTTAGTGAGTTCAATAATTGATACAATATAACGTTATGTCATATATATACTTCAATATGGCAGAAGCAAAGAGGAACAAGGAACAACAAAGGCATATGTGAATCATGTAACAAGCTTTCCATATCAATCAATGATTTGATTCAAATATATACAATCAATGAGACATAACAATTTCCATACTTGATATACATCAATAAAGCTTCGGCCCAAATGGCACAGAAGACATACACTTTCTGATTAAACATTTTGGTAGATTTCAGGCTTTCAGCCATGTCTAACCTTCTGCCAAAGCCATAGAATAGAAGTCATTCTCTTACTAGACATGCTCTACATGGCCAGAGGCTACATACCAGTACCACCGTGAATCTAAGTCATTTCACTGATCACATGGTCAAAGGTATAGCTTTGCTATCATAAATAGCGGAAATAATAACAACGGAAAAGCACATAGCACATATAACACATAACATACAATTGTTCCTATATATTGAACTCACCGTGAAATAACTGGGGATTAATTTGGGCAGCACTTCGACTCTAAATATGACTTTCTGCGATGAAACTGAGGATTTTAGTTGAAAACCGGCCTTACACGGGCAGAGTTTCGACTTGAAAATATAATTTTCTCGGGAACTTCGGAGCGTCGGGACTTGCTTCGGGTGTCGGGGATGATACCTGGACTTCGGAGGGTGTTAGAAGGGCTTGAGAGAGGCTAGAGAGTGAATGAGAGTGAGAATTTGTAACATAAACCCGGAGGGCTCGATTTCTATTTATAGGCTGAAAAATCGACTCTCACGTCGTGAACCATGTACGTTCACGTCGTGACTTTGATCCTGGTCATCCCCTAG